ATGACAATGTCAAGCCATACTTTTATATGTAGAAGATGGGCAAGGCAATGATCCTGAGAATCTCCAGAAGATTTTTGAATCTAGCAGTTAATTGAAAAGATTCTCACCCTGACTAACTATATATACTGATACCTGTGAAATAAGCAACTGCACTGCTGATGGTCATCTGCAATAGTAGTTTCATGCTTGGAGTGCCTCTCATTCTGTTTCTGAATACAGGCTGCTTGTCATGACATGCCAGTTGCTGCTATGGTATCTCTTGGGTAGATGGCTGTTCAAAAAGAGGGGGGTGGTGAATGAAAGCAACATACAGGAAAAGGAATACTGTGGGACTGTCCTGCTTCAAGGTTATATATATGGTTAGATTTTTGGACTTTTGTGTAAACATAAGAAGGATATAATTCTTTATGCCTCCTTTTAAAATATATTCTAATATTAAATTTATCATATTCTACAGGGACTTAAAGTTCAACATATCAATACATGATGAAAAATACCTGTTCCATGTTATGTGTAGGATGTTTGATATTCAGACAGATAGTGAGGTAAAGCTTAGCAGCCTAGATTGCGTGGTAATAACAATAAGCTTGTCTTCCGGAAGGTTAACAACCTAAGTATGCAGACCAAAGTTAGAGAAAAAAGGAGGGCCGCAAGGAAAGGCAACATTTTGGCCCTAGCCTTCCAAGGTCAATTAAGACTCAGGACCTATGAGAACTTGTACTGTTACGTCAGGTAACCCAGTAGTGTCCCAAATTTTCTGATTATGGGGCCAAAGAGGAAAATGATCGATGACATAGACTCTGCCTAAGGAGAGTCACATGGAGAGAAAACATTCTCTCAGGCTTTCACAGAGAGCACATTGGCCAAGCAATGACTGTAATTCATCCACATGGCTGACAATGACAAAGGTTCTACAATCTGAGATACAGGATCTCAAGATAAATCCTGAGGGGATTTCCCTGACCTTATCAGACCCAAAAGCTACAACTCTTGTTGCATAGGTCCTGCTTTACCTTGGTCTTAACTATCCAGCAGCAAAGTATAAAAACGAAATATAAGATGTAAAGCTATGCTGTTCTGTTGCGCTGCAGGGGACTCACGTCAACAATTTCTAACATTGTCAAGCGGAAGACCCAATACTATTATGGGCTACTGAACTCTTTTAGAATATTTTGCTGAGTTTACACACCTATAATATTCAAGTAACGGAACTTAAGAAGAAAAGGGGATACAGATGAATGTCCATATTGTATCAGTGTATTCAAAGTGGGTACAATAATATATACTACATTCTCTTAATGACTAGAGGGATTTGTTCTAATAGTGTTTGAAAATAGGATATCAGGTCTGCATCTTGTACAGCAATTAACCACTAGGAAAAATGTATGCAATGTGTTAATTATTGCAACTGTCCTACCAATTTGGTTCCAAAGTGTCTCATTGCTATTTGTTTCTGAATAAAATTATGGAAAAAAAAGAAATAATTTCTGAACTAAAAAAGTAGTGATAACTATATTCAAAAGAAGTACTAAGTGCTTCTTAAGAATACACTGATAAAAAATAGAGCAGAATATAAAAATGATGGAACCCCTGAATAAGCAATATAGAAAAGAAATAGATTGTATGAAAGAGATTCAAAGAGATATACAGGAAATTAAAATCTCAATCACAAGCTGTCAAACCTGTCTGAGTGAAAATGAAAATAGACTTTCTGACCTTAAAGATACCATTGCAGCTAGTGAAAAGGAAAAGATGTCTTAAAAACAACAAGGTGCAGGGAAACATAATTCAATACATGTAACACGATGCAAAGGGGAACAAAGTGAGAGTAATAGGCATCAATGAGAAGGAAGGAGTCAATACAAATGATATAAAAAGAATACGGGCAGAAGTAATAGCAGAAAACTTCCCAAATATGGGTCAACAATCTGACATTCAGCTAACTGAAGCATATAGAACTCCAAATAACATCAACCCAATTAAAACCACACCCAGACATATAATAATCAAGATCACAGAAATTCAGCACACGAGCAGTATAGTAAAAGCCGCTAAAGAAATGAATCAGATCATTTTTAAAGGAAAACCCATGAGAATAACGGCAGATTTTTCTTCACAAACATCAAGTCAAGAACA